AAAACCTTGGTCTATACTCTTAGATTTTGCATCGGCTGTGATTCGAGAATGTAAATCTGTTCAGTGACAGAAATGTTTAATGGAAAATTTGAAGGCAACTTTTGGTTGTAAGGATGAAAAAGCTGTTGATTGTTTTATACTTTTGTAAGTAGCAACAAAAATATAGAAAAGTTGGGGTCTTTTACAAAAAATATACCCATATAAAGTTAAGCCTATATTGTATGAGGTCTAAGTACCACCTGATCAAATTTGACCCGGACTGTCAAAACATACATCGCCTTCAAAATAGGCTTCGTTTTTACATAATACAAGCATGGCAATGCTTCTTCGAATTTGTTTATAGATGCTGAATGTTGGGTCCTCAGCTACGTTGTCTTGTCGATGTCGTTTTCGCAAAAGATTCAGATGTTTTAGTACGAGTCTAGCATTGACACGCTTCATATCCAAAGCAATATCCACATTGTGCTGCTTCGATCCATAAGAAATTTCGAGATTCGTCGCTTTATCTCTGAAGTTAAAAGAGCTTATTTCAAGCACTTTTTTTTTAACTTTTTCGATGTCATCTTTATTAACAGAGGTGGATGCACGACTCGCATGAGGCAAGTTTTCGTAAACTTTACGACCTTTACTGAATGCTTTGTGCCGGTCAAAGATTTATGTTTGGACTCTCCAAATACTTCAGCAACACTTTCAACGATTCCATAGCCGTTAATCCATTGAATTTCAAGCAAAGTTGTTTTTCAATTTTTTTCCCATGGTGACTCATCGTCATAAACAAACAGCCGCCACAAACACGCTAATCGACATATGGAGATCAAGCTCCACACAACAAGGGTTGTACTCATCTAGGAAATTTTTTCTCAATTCGGTTTACGCTCACAGTTTATATGGGGCAAGTGACCGGTGTAAATGTGCAAATGAGCGACTCTTTTTAATGAGACCCCTTGATATACACTAACTATAACTTTAAATAATGAAAACTCAAATAATCAAACCAAAGCGTATATATATTTGTGCACCCAAAAATGCATACCTGAATACCATTACTCTATAACCGAGCCCCACATACATACATATGTAAGTATTGTATATTTACAACATAAACGCAAATTCTAAATTATCAATCGGCACGGAAGCAATTACTAAAGGCGACTTTAGTGATAAAAATGTAAATGCCACAGCGGGCACATTGCCGTGTGTGGAATGGTTGGCGTGTGGATGCCGCGGCACATTTTCGTTTTTGTTGTTATCATTGCCGTTAGAAAACAACAATTGCACCGCCACTACCAAATGTCATTGCAGCTGCAAATGAAACTCTGATAAGTAAAACTCGCGGCGGCAGCCAGTGCAATGCGCCGGTCAGCTGAGCCTTCAACGGTATCAGCGGCTGCTCGCCTTACAGCGGACAGCACCCAAATAATCGCAAGAGCGCGCTGGCTGCGTGGTATACGAGTTACCACGAAGCGTGCCTATCGCTTCACTGACATCCAGATGCGATATAAATGGTTCATAAAGAGAAATAAATACCAGCAAACCCATATGTATGTAAACTGCAGTATATACCGTTATGATGTATTTTACAATAAATAATAAAAGTGTACTCTCGCACCATGCGCACGCATGTACACTCGTGTGCGTACTTTACTTTATAATCGCCGCGTATCGCGCTCATTTGTAAGGCTTAAGCGCAGTTTTAATTCCAATAAACAGATATTTGTGCTTGTCTACTTTTCTATATTTTATATTTTCGTTTGCTTTCACACTTGTTTTCGATTTTTATTCCATAGTGTTAAAAGTGTTTTGCTTTTCTATTCTATTTTCCATTTCATTTTCATTGTGAGGCACTCACGCCACAACACACATCAATCTATATGCTTGTATGTGTATATGTGTGCATGTCTGGAGTCACAATTTGCCATATCGATAATTTTGATTTAACTTCATTTTCATTTCATTGGAATAAGTCCATATACTAAGTAGACGATCACTTGCGCTTGGAAATTGGAATGCATTACGATCTGGCTGTGAATTATGTGAATATGTGTATGTGTGTGTGTCGCATATGTGAAGTTGCATTTTGGTTTGGAATAAACTCGACTTTAGTCAGTAGCAGATTTTACAACGATCGACGCGCATACAATTTGACGAATAAAAAATATGGTTTTCACAAAAAAAATTCTATAAGCGTGGACTCGGGTAACTCAACGGGATAATACAAAAAATGTTTCGTGCCAACAGCTATTGTAACTAGTGCTTTTGCACCATTTGAAAATGTATTTGAAATATTGAAGAAAATAAAAAAATAAAACAAGTGAACGCGCGTGACCTAGAGTGACTTTCTTTGTAACATCTTAATATGTTCTCGCTCGTTTTTTTGTGTTATCAAAAGCAATTAATTCGAAAATAATCGCAAATATGCATTCAATAAGTCACCTGCACTCGCCCAATTGCGATTTTATGACTAAACTAGTGGCCGCTGAGATTACCGAATATGTAAGTGTGATTTTTTATCCGAAAATTGGCGTTTCCGATAAAGTTACTCATACGCAGTGTCCATCCATCATCTACATTTCTTTATGCAAATAGTTTAGTAAGATTTTTTGAAACCTCAATTACGAGTTTAATCTATCAATTATACCTCAATTATCTTTATGAGCAAAATGCGTTCGGACTCTTGCGGTCAGGCGCTCTTGTGACTTCCGGTAGCTTCATATTGGAGCTTTTGGGTCTTCTATTATTCTAAACTCTAGAAGCTAAAGGCTAAACCTTAATAAAAAAAAGCATTAATAAATAATAGGGGTACTAAAAAAAACTTTATTTAGCATTTAGTTAGAATGATCCGTTTAAGGTCAAATATGCATCGATTTGTTCCATTTTGAAGGTAATTTCATAAAACACCTCTCACAGAAACCCTCGTCTTTGTTGGCAAAAAGCTGGACAGACGATTTTCACAAGCCTCTCTTGAGGGAAATTGTTCACCATCCAAATGCTTCGCCATAAACAGACACAGGTAATAATCATTTGAAAACAGGTCCGCACTACAACTTCCGCAGCTTCCGGCGACCCACTATAACGTGTATGACATTTCATTGTTCTGATGGAACACAATTGTTGACATAGAGATTCGAATTAAGTGTTTGGCCACAGGGAAGCAGCTAATAGTAATGATACTCTGCCAGCCTGACCAAACACATAGCTAAACCTTCCTGACTATCAATACTGGCGACCGAATCCAATATGGCCGTTATCGCTTAACGTTGTCGTAGTGACCCACTTTTCATCACCAGTAAGCAGCCTTCAGATTGTTGTGTATCTTTGACATCAAAATAACCGGAACGACACATTTTCAGTCGCTTGGTTACGTTTTCGTCTTTATCAAAGAAAAACTGTAAATACTTCCCGTTAATAAAAGCAGATTTAAGCTTAGTTATTTATATTTATTTTTTTTCTTTAAAAAACCTCATTGATTTGAGGTTAGTTTCCGCAAATGGCATGCTCTGTAACTTAGGTGATTATAGAAGGCTTCAATTCTATACACAGTAGACGCAGGCATCAATTTATACAGACTATTAATATGCAAGTATTTTCGTTACTTTTATTTATTTAAAAATAAATCAACAGATATAAATGTATATAACTATGCTAATTTCTCAATTCCGCAAGAGTGCAGTTATCTCTTATGAGTTTCCTTTGTATTCAAATGACACACGGACAACAATGCTCCACTTACCTCATTAACTGATCACAAACCGGGTTAAATATTAATAAATGCATCTTCAAGTAAATAAATGAAAGTGAACAAGTGCAGACAGACATTGTGGGCACGCCCATTTGCTTGGCTACATGCACACAAATCTCTATTTGCCACTTCCTTTCAAGCAATTGCAACGCGTCCGCCTTAAGGCCATTTATTGCACTTGCAACGACTATCCACATATGCCATATGTGCAACTATGTACAGTATGTATTTGCATGCGTGTTGCCAATTGGCGCCACCGACTGACTTCCTCGAATACAAATATATTGTAAAACATAGTTAGTGGAAAACTAAGCCATGAAAATGGAAAAAAAAATATTTGCTGACGAATGCATCGCGTGTGAAAATGCCAACAATTTATGTGCGAAATAAATCACGGTAACGAGCAAATTTCAATAGTCAAAAAACATCAGAGACAGAAGAGATAAAAAGAAGTGCAGTCCGGTGGAACGCATGCGTGTAAGTGCGCGCACAGTGGTGGGCGTCAAAATTTAGATAGCCTGGATATAATATTTATAATGAAAATGAAGTGTAAATAAAAGTGTTCGAATTTTTTTTTTTTTAATATTTGAAAATAAATTATTTTATAAGTATCATCGTTTGCCGAAAAAAGTTAATTTTTAGCACTGCGAATATTGAATATTGCATATGAAAAAATGCTACACGTATTTTAGTACTTGCTCGCTGTTTAAGAAAATTTTAGACTTTTAGTGGTTGTAAAAGTTTCCAAAAAAAACGTTACACAACACAACTGTCACTAAAAAAATTTAACCTATATAAATATCGCAACTACCTTGTTGTCGCTCAGCTCAGAAAATAGTTTAGTATTGAAATTAAGCTCGATACACTTGACCGAACAATGCTCATTAATCTTCTTTAACCCAACTGAAACGTAAGTTTTCTGAAGGTCTGCAAAATAGGCCTCCGACTCAACTCACCCGAATTTCTACTTATTTCGACAGCACAGTCTTCGTCTTCTTCGAAACAGTTCGCGGGGTGAAGTTTACAGTTTCGACTGTTCCTTGGTTTCTAGTGAGTAGTAGAAGTAGGTCCAGGTTTCGTCGACGGGATCGCGCTTAAACATCAACATCGTGGCTCATAAAGAACAGATGTGCCAACGTTTTGAAATTGTTAAACCTTTTTTGGCGGTCACCATCGAAGCACCAAAGTTCCCGTATACAGCATCCAAAAATCAGCATCCGTTCGTTAATGTTAATTTTTCTAAAATTTTCGTGCGATTCAACGGAAATTAATAGCAGCTGTCTACGAGAATGCTCTACACGATAATAAATTTCTCTGCAATAGTGGCGTCTTCAGGCAGTGAGCCTAGGTACTTATCGGACCGCCCTCGTACAAGCATATGTCTCCTATGCGCTGATATTATAGTTGAAATTTTTTTCATTTGCATATATTATTATTGTTATTGTTGTTGCTCCAGCTAACAGCCTTTTGGTTGCTCTATTTAAAAAGCAATGACTATTGGAACTTTTTCGAAGAGAAATTTTCCTTGCATGCAACAGAACCCTCAAAGTGGTGATACTGCTATGCTTTTTTCCAGAAAAAAATGAAAAGGGAAAATTATTTACTTACACAAATCTACACTATCTTCAAATTAAAAACTTTCACACTTTCTTTTCGTCACCTAATGCTGTTTGCTGATTCGCATCAGACAACCGTACGGTGATGCAACTAAGCGTATTTAAAAATGTAATTTCTTCACCATCAACGAGGCGTATAAATCACTGCTCCATCACACATCACAAATCTAACATTCCCATCATTTGTCAATTATGCTTTATGATCTGCTACAAAAATTGTTACCACACACACACAGGCATACCGCGGCTTAAGAGCAACTAAAACTTCGACTGCGCGTCGCCGCAAATGGTAGTGGCAGCAACTTTTACCATGCCACATGCGCATGCGGTAAACCTTTTGTGGCACTGCAACAGCGGCAATCAATTTCCACGCATGCTACTTTAGCCGCTGCCACGCGCGTGCAATATAACGCACATCATCAACGGCGCGCGCGCGGCTCACACACGAAACCCCACAGTGGCAATGCAATGCACCAACGCTTTCGTTGCGGACAGACAGGCAAACTGACATTGTCAGTTGCTAATTAATAATTTTCAAATTAAACTCCCATTAGATATGAAAATTGGATAAAGAAATTCTCAATTTGTTACAACGCGACGCGGCACTGTGGAGGAAGCGAAGAGGCAGGCATGCGCGCAGTCTGTGAATTAGTGAGGCTGTGAGGCTTTGGAAGCGCCCGCTGTTGGTCTATGGCAACATACAACAGGCGTGTATGTTGCTGGAGAGTTGCACTCGTATCGCCACGATCACCTGCCGTGTTCACCACAATGCAATTTCAGTTAACGCCACTGCCACATACTATGGCATCTAGTCTTGTTATAGTTGCTATTGCTATTCCAACGGTCAATTGAATTGATAGTATCGCTCGGGGGAGCAGCAGCAAAAACAACAACAATACGTGGTGGCTCATGTATGGAGCTTTTATTACATCGCAATAAGCACGAAAGAAGACAGTTGCAGCTACTGCGGCCTCGTAGGCAACTTCTGTGGTTATGCGCTCGCTTTCGTCGCTTTTGTATTTTTTTGTGTGTGCGTTCGTCTACTTGAATGGCGCTGCTATCCATTCATTAAAAAGTTCAGCTAAGACCATGGCGCAACGGTAGCAAGCGTGCTATTTACTCTAGTGTGGCACGCGCTCTACTTGCAACACTTTGCATAGGCATTCTGATATTGCCGCAAGTCAAACTATTTTGATTGCGAGAAAATTGCAAAATTGTCATTGTGAAAACGTGGTCACATCAAAGGAAGTATACAGTGTTAAGCACATCAAGATTTCGCACGCATGTCGTGAAAGTTCTTTGTTCAACTATATCAACGCATTCATTTCATTTTGTTTCGTTGAAATTTGTTTTCCTTTTTACTCATTCTTTACTCTCTGTGGGTACTATAAGTGCATTTTTATGGATATTTTATTGTTATTTCAATTTATGCACTTTACACCTTTGATACTATTGTTACAAAAATATTGTAAATTATATATTCACGCAGTTCTACAATAAATACCCATAGCTTCGTTGAAATTCAATACTTTCTCACTGATTGCCGTTTTTGTGGTGTTCATCGCACTTTCATTTGCATATTTCTGTAGCCATTCATTTTATCTTCACATATTAATTTATTGAAATTTCGAAAGAAATTTGATGATCGTTTAAATGTGGAGAGATCGTTAAGGATGCTTTTTCTTGACCCCTCAAGTCATTAACAAAACCGATTTTGTTGGAATTGTTTATATTATATATTTTTATTTTCTCGATCATCTACAACATTCTATAGACTTTTTATCCTGTAGTAGTTCCATAATGGTACTTTTTAGGTCGTTGGAACACATTTTCAAAATACTGTGCTGTCTTCCGTTTTCCTCTTGTACACCAGAAAATTGAAGACCCTGATATATGTTATTGTATTACTTACCATACTTACGAAATCCTGCCTGGTCGTTGAAAATTTTTATTCGACTTGAAATAAAACATAGTTTCAATATGAGCAGAACTCTTTTAAATAAGCTAGGTTATAATTCCATAGTTCTATTCTTTTGGTGAAAAGTAAAAAAATAATAATACAATTTTGAAGCTGAAAAGTTTTGTAATCTCCACTAATATGTACATATTGCTACGACAATTGAACAAAAGAGTGATAAAAATGCAATAAAAACATCGTTAAATTTTAAAATATTATGCTAATATACTCTAAATAACACTCCTAATTTACTCCTAAGTGCTTCCGAATATATTCCGAAATTATATATCCCGTCTTCTCCTACTCAAATTAATCCGTAAATATTTCGAATGTTTTCCGCAACTACTCCGAATGTATTCCGAAATTACAACAATTACACTTTCTGCTTAAATGCTTTTGCTTTCATATATATGTATATTGTTTATCTCACTCAAATGCTTTTAGATCGTTTTAATAAAACATTGAGTTCAATAAACATGCTTGCTTCAAATTATATATGTCACTCAAGTGTGCGTATATTCTGATGCCATTCTGTATTAAAAAAATATTCACATATATAATATATATGCATATTTACTAAATGTTCCACCTTAGTATCATCAAAAACCAATACTTATCCATGTCATCATTCAAAATCGCTTATACTCTTGTCCATTATTTGCAATAATTGGGTGCACTGGCATAAAAACAAATCCCACTTTCTTATTTAAACTGCTGTCACAATAAAAAGTGTGCACTTTGGCATTTTAAATTTTGTGGCTTTCTTTAGAATGTTTTCGTTATCATTTCAGTTTTTGTTTATACTAATTTATTTCGGATCAATTAAGTGTGCGACACGTGTGCGACGGTTATGTTTTGATTTATGCAATCTCAAACAAAATTAAATTAAAGTAAATCAAATAATTTTTAGTATCGAAATTTGAAAAAAAAATTTGTGTTTATTACTAAAATTTATTTTATTCACACACATCTACCGACATATATTTTTTACCAAAAACGCAAGCATTTGTTTTTAAACATTTTTATTATTATTTCATCCTCTAACCCCAAAGTGCTATTATTTTCAATCTCACTAATAGAATTGGCGTCATGTCTACAAGGCGCTCATACTGTTGGAGTATTTAATCAAAACTGGCACCGAGAAAGTGGCTCAACAGTGCAAAGTTAATATTTTCGCCATACAAACACTGCGTGAATTCGTGTACTTTGAAGCGAGTTAAGACCAGGGCACGCATATGCGCAAGGCTAAGCAGCTGGTGAATTTATTGAAAGAATTGATGTGCGTCTACAACTTGCGCTGAGCCAGAGCGAACAAGATTTCGAGTATGTACATTTATTGTCTGCCGCCATTCCAAAATTCTTTCATTTGTCTACTATTCCAGAGATCAAACGGTTCCAGCTGCCGCCGCCTAAAGAGGAAGAGTCACAATCACATCTGTTAGAATTGCTGAACTTTTCTCTGCTCGACACGAGTATTTTAAGTCCACCATTGGGCGCCACTCAATTTACTGAAATCATTTTGTATCTTTAACACAGCATCACTACTCGTTGAAATGGGTTCTCTGTCTGATTACGAGCAAACAACTGAAAACACCGCAATCGTTTTTAGGTGAAAATTCGTCATAAGTTTCGTTGAATAATCTAATAAAGCCCATGCAAACGCATTCACAAGTTGGCAGTGCTGCCTACAATCCATTTAGCGATACTGTTATACCATCAAAAACAAATCTATTCCTACAACAACAGCCTGAGGTGAGTCATTTATGTAATATTCGCTTGTGTTATATTTGCATGGTGGAAAAGTTCGGTTATAAATACTCAAAAGCTACTGAAAGCTAAAAAAAATTAACCTATCCGTTTTCTTACTGTTATTTACAGGTACCGCCCATTAACCAGCTCAAACAGCAAAAGAATTTTGCTATGACTATGAATCAGGATCTCCACTAATGCGTCTCAGGTACGTTTAGCCATATAGTTATAGCCAAATGCCATAATTTCATAAAAAAACGAAAATTAATTTAAAATTTTTCGTAAACGATATTTTCAAGTAGAGAAAAAATTTTAAAAAATTTTTTATGAGTAATTTAAGCCAATATCTTTGGTGCATGGTCTGCTAGGGTCTAAAATGCTTAATGCGGTTTCAAAATTATTAACTAATTACTGCCCCCCACAAATATTTATTGCGTATTGTGATTATTTCGCTTAATTAAAATTTTATAGTGAATGTGCTCTAAATATATTTTTTTTTTTACTTACTACAATTTGCTTTAATTTAACTTATACTTTCATTTGACTTTATTAGCTCAATTAAATCCAGGAACTATCAATTCTTTAATTTTTTGATCTATTCTCAATTCATCAAAAAAAACAAAGAAAAAATGATTGCTTACGCATCAAAAACAAAAGAACAACCAAAGCAACAACGAAAAATTGTCCTTTTCTCCTTTTGACAACTAGGTTAGGTTAGGTTAGGTTAGAGGGTCGATCCTAAGAAGGATCACACTTGGACAGCTTAAACGCCGGTCCGTTGTGGTACCCAAAACTCCTATGAGCAGAAACAATAGACCCTTACATGTCGACAAAGCGCTTTGTGCCTATGACAAACTTGTTAAGACGGCCAATATCTGTTTCGGCCAGATCTTCTGGACCGCCAAAAGTATGATTGCCGTGATGTTTCAATCTCAACCTAGCAAAAGCCGGAAAATGGAGGAGAAAGTGCCGGGATGTTTCCACTTCACCCTCCTCCATACAGCTTTGACAACTGCCATCAGGTAGTATTCTAAGCCACACCGCATGAGTTCCCATTGGACAGTGCCCAGTGAGAACTCCTACCATGGCGGCGAGGTGAACTTTGTTCAAGGCGAGAAGATCCCCCGACCTCCTGCGATCCACTCTCGGCTAGAAGGACCGCGCAGTCGCGCAGGAGCTGGTCGTGACCACACCATAGAACAGTATTGGCTTGACTACGGTTTCGTAGAGCCAGAACACCACCTTTGGTGAGAGTCCCCACCTTTTCCCTATAGCTCCCCTGCAGCAGTATAAGGCGACCGATGCCTTCTTGACTCTCTCCTCGATGTTCGGCCTCCAAGAAAGCTTTCAATCAAGGATGAGCCCTAGGTATTTCACCTTATCAACAGGTTGAAGACGTGAACCCCCGAAGGAGGGGAGAGGCACATTTGGAATCTTATACCTCCTAGTGAATAAAACCATTTCGGTTTTACTTGGGTTGACGGCTAGGCCGCTTCTGTTTGCCCAGTTGAATACCACGTTTAGGTACCCTTCGGTGAGCTCATAGACGGTATTCAGGAATTTACCTTTAACCATAAGAACCACATCATCAGCATAGGCTATCACCCCAGAGCAGTGGTGAGAGTACTTCACCCTGCGGAGTTCCCCTATTAACCTTTCTGGTTGACTTGGTTTGATTCAACCTCAAACTTTTCGAGGGCTTTAACCACTGCCTATGGCCGCACGTTATTGAAGGCCCCCTCGATGTCGAGAAAGGTACCCACTGCAAATTCCTTATGCATCAGCGCTGTCTCCAGCCACGACACTACATCATGCAAAGCAGTGTCGACCGACCTGTCCTTGATATAGGCATGCTGCGCCCGTAACAGTTTACCCTCGGTATTCTGCACCTAATGTACAGATCCATAAGTCTCTCCAGCGTTTTTAACAGAAACGAGGATAGGCTGATGGGTCTGAAATCTTTTGCACCGACATGAGAGCTTTTACCGGCCTTCGGAATGAATGCAACCTTAACCTGTCTCCAGGCCCTCGGGACGTGGCCCAATCTAACACAGTTCGCGTAGATAGGGGCCAGCCAGATACATGACATCTTAACCGTTCGCTGTAGTTGCGCCGGTATGATGCCATCAGGACCCGGGGACTTGAAGGGCTTAAAAGATTTCAGCGCCCAGGTAAGGTGACGCTCATCCAGAAGGTCCAAGAAGGCTGTACAGCCTTCCTGAAGCTCCCCAGTGGCACTTCTTCAGCAAAGCGATTCAGTGGAAAATGAGCATCTAGTAGTAGCCTCAGCGACTCCTCGCTACTCGTAGTCCACCCGCTATCTGCATTTCTTAGATACCCCACCGGAGTAGGATTTTTTGCAAGAATGCGTCTAAACCTTGGGGACTCGTGACAGCCCTCTACACTGCCGCAGAAGGCTTTCCACGAAGCCCTTTTGGCTTTCTTCAAGTCGGACTTGTAAATGGCCAATCCGGCCTTGTACAACGCCCAGTCGTCGCTAGAGCCACTTTTACGGGCTTTGTTGAAGAGTGTTCTACTCGAAGATCTCATCTCCGTTAGCTCCGAAGTCCACCAAGGGGGTTTGCCTTTACTTTTCTGAGTTTTCAGAGGACAGGAGCTTTCAAGAGTAGATCTGCTAACAGAGCTGAAAACCTCGACGAGCTCCTCAATCGCGTCCGCAGATAGGATCGATTCCCTGTCAGGCGCGGTTGAAAGAGCTGATCGAAGCTTCCTGCAATACAAGACCCAATTGGTATTCCTCAAGTTTCTGTAGGTTTTATGCTTCGGGCGCGAGGCGTCCAAGCTGAACCCAATATATTTATGATCAGAAAAGGAGTGGTCGTCTAGAACTCTCCATTTCGAGATCAAGGGAGCAATTTCCCTAGAGGCTAGCGTGACGTCAAGGACTTCCGCCCTGCTAGCTGTCACAAAAGTTGGGCAGTTTCCCCTATTACAGATAAAAAGGTCTACATCGCAAATAAAATCAAAAAGTGAAGATATCCCATAGCTACTCAGCCACGGCTCCTGGATAAGGACAACGTCGGCTTCGTCCTTCCTAGATCGCCGGAGGCCGCCTTTGAGTGCTGGAGGTTAATTTGGAGGATCTTCATCCTCCAAACTCCTCTCCAGCAGTGCGAGTTCCGCACCATCGTCCATAACATCGACGCCAGCCTCCTCGAACAGATGCTCGAGACTGAAGACGGATCCATCATCACCTGACGATCCGCCCCCCGTGCTCACCGCGTCCGAGCGGACAGGGTCGACATCCATTTTCGAGAGAGGAACTTTCCCACTCTCTTTCGTCCCGGCAGAGGCAGCGGGCCATCCGCCCTGGCTTCTGTTGGGAGCGTCTTGAGAACGACCCTCTCGAAGCCAGAGCTTATGGCCCCCTTTCTGACACTGAGAGGAGCGAGGGACTCCTTGTTTAGGAGTATCAGCGCTTGCCAATATGGTGCCTCGGTCCCCTCCAGCCTGATCACCCTCCAGTCTTGGGTGGGGAGAGATGGGTTGCAGTAAGCACATCTCTTCAATTTCGGCCGGGGTGAAGGTTCGGCGGAAGCCAGACCCGAGCCGAGGCCGCATCGGGAGATCCGATTTGCCACCGCCTCGAGCCTTGCTCCTTTCCACACCTCCCTACCCTGGCTACCGCCTCCTATAAAGGAGAGCCGACCGTTGTCGGCACACCTAATCAGTTTGTGAATGCCGAGGTTCCACCGGCACTTTCACATTAGGGGGGGTCCAGGGCTTCCCTGACCACCTTCATAAAACAGCGGCGATAGCAGCCGCACCCGTTTCCATCGTCATGAGAGATGGCTCATCTCCCTTCTTCGTCGTACACCCAAGCCCCACTGAGCTTGCGAGTTTGCGATTTCGCTAAACATAGGTGCGGGTCCGACAGCTTGGCAGCCAATCGACGATCAGACTTCATTTTTAGCTGAAGGCACTCGCTTCTCCACTGGGCCCTTAGCGTTCGCCGAGGACCCCGTGACCCCATGAACTTAGCAGAGGTTCCTCTGCTAGTGCTGCGATTCCGCCTCGCACTTCGCCCTACCCAAGGTTGTCGTCGGCAGACTCTGCCGATCCCCCTGCTTACCTCCCCATGACGTAACCAGGCACCCTGGATTTCCTTTCTACCCTTACCGGGGACGTTTTCGTCCCTCGATGAAGTGTCCTCCCAGAGAACCGTCCACTACAGCGGAGGTCGGTTTCGATCCGTTCCCCCCTCGTCCTTATGTTTTGTTTGTTTTCATTTTGTTCTGTTGGGTCCCACTCAGAGCCGCTATCCGTCTCCGGAAAGGTAGTCGCCTTTATGGTCCCAAGGTTGTCTCAGTTACGAGGCCAAGGCGAGGTTGACGCACGCCCTTATGAGGCAATGCGTTCAGAGCCGACCAGGCAAGAAGGGTCATCTCAACAACACGTACACACAACTTAATGATGACGGGAGGAACGTACTCCGAGGCCTGCCATGGTTTAACGGGACGGAGGCGACCTTGCATTAGCCCATCAGCCATTTCTGCAGGGTATCACCCTGCATACTCAGGTGACAGAATACCAAGACCACCAGCCAGGGTTCAACCGAATCCATCTATTGTCCACTATGTCCAGTCGAGCAAAGGTCGGATCAGGAGTTCAAGAAAACGCCGTAAAGGCCGCAGGTCATTTGGCGTTGCCAGATGCACCACGGGGAGGGAACTGCGACGACTTACAAGTTTAAATAGCAGCAGCGAGCATAATCACAATGACATACATAATAACTGTAATAATAGTATAGCAAACAAGCCAAAATCAACTACAATAACAATAACAAACCAGCTATGCAATACTCCAAAAGTGATTATGACGTCTTCAACTCCTCGTTTGTCAGCTCAAGCGACTTCTTTATTTATCCCAACAACAAAACCGCAATAACAACATTAATAAAGTCAACAAGATGGACCATACCAATTATAATTCTGGTGGGGCTTCGTCATTCATTGTGCAGAGATACGAATCGCCAATCTGTTCCGCCAGCTCCATTTCCTTACAATCGTTTGACAGGCAGGAGTGCCAAAGATCATGGTGCGCGTTAAAGTCGCCTAACATCAAACGGTTTTCACCACGAAGTAGCGCACGTATAGTCGGGTGATATCCTGTTGGGCAACATGTAACTGGGGAATGTATATATTAATACTCGAGCTCGGCATCCCTGACCGGTCAGCTATACCTGATATTCCAGGTAGTGTCCTCGCGGTCGATGTCAACATCGATTAGACAATATTGCACAGTGTTTGCAGTATGAAGGCTTGGCCTACACATTATCTTGCTCGCGATCTTTTAACGGATTCGGTCGGTCGGGGGTGATCCTGGGGGTAAGGAAGTGCGTGTAGGTGGTAGTAGCTGTAATCCGCATTGGTGTTGTTTGGCGACACCATTATATGGAATTTGGGAGCAGATCTACAGCACGGGCAACATACGACGCACTGGTGTTCTGGGGTTTCCGGCTCCATGTCACAGAATCAGCAGTCTGGTTACGGTTTTAAACCGTCTGAGTCGTAACCGCCTATCGGCACTTGGCATGGCGCATGCCTTGAAGTTGTTGCCAATGTCTCTCCCTGGCTGCTCTTTAGCTCTGGCGTTGAGAGATGCTTTCACAGAACTTCTAAGCTCTTTGCTTTGCTGCCTATCTCCTTGTTGTAAACATTTAGGCTGCACTTATAGTCCTCCCAGTTCCCGGTACGCTTGGCCTTGTTCAATAGCTTGCGTACCGGTTCCTCCTATAAATATATATTCAGCGTTCCTAAAGGTGGACCAGTCCGTGTTTCTAGGGATACGCTTGGGAGGTTCGATGAACTCTCCATTGCTCGATAAGCCGTCATAATTCGTTCCCAAAGTGATGCCAGAGCCTCTCTTAACTGCTTACAAGGTAGTTTCGCACCACACTTTAAAATTTATAATAACTATAACTTCAAGGAGAGCTCACCCCATGTATTACAGTCTGTGCTGCCCTTTCCGTGTAATAGCGTTAGCGTCGCATCCTAAGACGAGAGTAGGTCTTTCGTTGCTTTTAGTCTGCACAGCGACCAGGTCTTGTGTTAGGACTCTGATATACAAAAGAAATCAATATCGTTCCTAACTAATATACATATTCTAGATCTCTCATTATACAGATCTCAGATTACCCTTTTTGACTCCGTTTTCAGCCCTCTGAACTCTCCTTTGTAGATTCACAGCTGCTGATTTTTAATGAGCCCGAGAGCAAACTTATACGGCTTGCCGGCGCACCTGAGATGAAACAACATCATGCTATGCATGGGCGGTATGTCGTCTCCTTTTTAGGCAGAGGTCCTTGGAAGGAAGCTACATATCCAGACCCTCTGAATACCTCCTCCATGAGTAGGTATTGAAGCCTTGCGGCCTGAGTTCCGTTAACCGGGCGTTGGCTCTGTTTTCCGCTACTCCGTTTACTGCTGGACGCGGTATTGCCACCCTTTTGGTTCTCCGAAACTGGGGAGGCACTCTTTCCTCTCACCTTGTTACGTGCTAACTTTTCGGCTTCCTCCGGAGTTCTTCCCTCCTGGAGGTGCCTCAAGTACCATTTGAGGCTGGATAATTCACGAAATAAAAATTTGAACTCGAAATTTACTTTAAAAGCCGCCTCTAGATGACAAAAAAAAACTTTTTTTCCATACATTTTCTTTTATTATAATCTACAAATTTTACCCTGAGGCTAAGCAAAAAAAAAATTATTATTTTTTTGCTCCAACCTAATGTATATTATACATTTTTAGCGTTACTAGCTAACCCGGCGAACATCGTACCGCCATAGCATAGCTTTGATGCACTACTTTATTTTGTATAGCTGACAGTTGTTCTATCTTAGGTATGAGTACTTATTCAATTTAAACTGGAATCTATAATATCCTCCATATAAAAATTAATCCCTATTTCCCTGGTCTCCCCATACCTGAGAAGGCGACAGAATTTAATTAAGTAACCACATTTACGAACAAACGATGCACTTTCAATTCAAGTCTATGGCTGTGAATGACGAAATATGCAAAATGAAATGTATTTTTTCAATCTTTTTCCGTAAGAACCTTTTACAGAGTATTAGAAATCTTCAAAAAAAAAACCAGCCAAATCGGTCTAAGCGTTCTCAAGTTATGGCGTGACAACGGGAAACGGGTTTCATTTCTATATATATAGATTATGTATATAGTAAACATTTCTTATTACAAAATTTTGAAAAAAAAATTAGTATTTTTCTTATACAGTAACATTTCATGGTATTAGAAAATTAAACGATTTCCCATCTCCATTTCAGAACAACAATAATATGCCTTGGATGAACCCGGAAGCAGAATCGTCGTCAAATCCATTCTTATCGTAAAGCAGTTTTTTAAATACGGATATTTATATAGGGAGGGCTATAAAACAGCGTGCGTGAGTTAGAGGAATAAAGAGTTATTTTTTTTTATATAGATATACGCATAAAAAGAAAGAAAAACTAACCCGAAAAAATCAACAATAATGATAGTAAGGAGTATAAATTTAATATAAGTATTATAATTGTAATAAAAGTTTGAAAAGCGGTTAGGACAGTTGTAATTGAGCGTGTTAAAAAAGGACATCGCTCAACCAGTTTTGAATATTTTGAGTGCAATTATATATATTAAATTCAGTTGCTCGACCAAACCGCGTTCGCTTACTTCCACTACAATGCTCCCCATTAAAAAAATTATAAGATATAACACTCCTGTTGCTTAAGTATTTGCTCCAGACATACGACATTAAATTGAAATTTGAAAATAGGCCGGTGTAAATGGTAAACTATACAACAGTCAAGCTTAGCAGCAATATAAACACAACAAAAATGATAAGAAAATCAACTAAACTAATAAAAAATTTTATAAAAACCAAATTGATGTATTTTTACTGATAAAACAACAAGAACAAAAGCTGCAATACGAAAGGATAAAAAACAAACTTTGCATTGAAAAAGTGGCTTGATATGAAGAAGAAGCATAAATGCAGAGAAAAATACAGTCCATATAACAGTAACCACAAAAATTTGCAGCGATTGTATTTAGGCAACGAATATCATGCATATGTATAAAGGTGGCACATACTGCACATAGTAAGTATAATATGCCCGCCGGCAGGAAAATTTGCTATTTATTTGACTGCAACCGCAGCAACATATACATACATACAACTAAAATAGCATGCGCGTGTGTGTGAGAGCACTGATTTTAGGTGGCGTCGACGTGCAATTCACTTTCTTTGTAACAGGCCAAGTTCCAGGCCAAGCTGCCACATATGCTTACATACAAGTAGTCAATAAGTATTCATGTATGTGTGTGTGTTTCACTCAATTTGTATTATTTTATTTTATACACGCGGCGTGCCTGCTGTATCACGATTATGTTAATTCGGTTCATGATAGCCCGCTGCAACAACAATAAAGCGAAAGTGTTTGGCACATTTTCTGTGGTATGACTAAGGTGGCGACGCCACAATGCCCACCTTATCAGCATGCATTTCTCCTTCGTGCACATGAGTACAATACATATACATATATATGTATGTAAATAACTGCACTCACTCCTCATTGGCAATTCTAATAATTGAGCTGCGATTAGCGCCCAGAGCAAAAATTGTTCGTCTAGCCAATAAAATCTGTATTTAAATGTATGTGTGTATTTCGAGGCGTCTGGTAACATAGTTGTGCGCAGGCGCAGGCGTAACATGTTTGGCATAACATTTGACCTCTGTTACACCGCATCTAATCACTATTTGGAACTATCAGCGCCTCCAGCTGTTTTGCGGTGACATCACACCACAAGCAATTTGACGGCTAGTGGGTAGAGTTTGTCAAAACGTGTCGTCATTTATGCGGAAATTCGAAATTTAACGAAACTTTAGTGCTACAAAACAAAAAGCAAAAAAATATGAAATAACCTTATAGGAAAAAGCTCTTATGTAAGCGCCAGAAATGAAAATATTTTAGGTTAGTTTTCATTGAACTTTTAGGTTATAATTTTTATTGGAAAATAATTGCGTCTCATCAGTTACATTATTTGCTTATTTTCTCAGTATACGATTTTCTCAATCCAGTCTATATAGCTGGCGACACGTGTGTACACCCCCGGCACCCCAGAACCGCAACCATTGCCGAATGAGGTGATGTCAACCACGTACGGCATTTCGTAAAAGTAATTATCATCACCAGTACGGTACATTATAATGGGTCCGCCAGAGTCCCCCTGCGGTTTTAAGAAAAAAAATATTTGTTACAAAATATTCAAAGAAATAAATCGCAGAACATATCTTTCAAGATTATTTTCTCACCTGAGAAGTATCGTTCATTCCAACTGTATCATTTCCTCACAACTGCGAATGAATAATGCCACGATAAAGCAAATCGTCATCTTGCTCATAGTATTTACCGCATTCTTCATTCGTCAAAATAGTTAGGTTCGTCTTCATTAAAGTGTCCGATGCTAAACCAGCTAAGTATGGAAAAGTATACATACAAACTAATTAAGTATAAATTTAATTATTTACTACTTTAAAATCCTACTACTAAAAAATTTTAAAATAGTTGTCAGAGAAGTTTTCTCTTGTTTTCTGATAGTCATGTTTTGGCTTTCTTCTCACCAAATCTTGTGCTTCCATAGCCGATAGATGTAACATTTGCTGCGAACAGGGGTAGTGCCCAAGTGCAAGCCGGACCAGTGTTGTTGAAACTCTCGGCACTGAAAAAAAATCCAAAAAATATATATATGGGTATATTTTTTAATAATATAAATTTCTGTTAAAAACATTAGGAATGTCGTTTTCCTCTCAATCTAAGTGTTCGTTCCCTTTGGAACGTATTTCAACAAAACCTTACTACTATGACTCCTTCAAGCGTATATCAAACATATGTTTTGTGATTCCTTAGGCATCTGCTGGTAGACATCGCGCGTTACATAGACACCAAGTTTTGATATTCGTAGAAGCCCATCACTGTGGGGTCATAAAAATTACATATTCACTGCTGGATTTGCAAAACAAAACTTTTATATAAATTTTCCAATTACCCAAAATTGAGAAGTGTACGACAATTAAGCCAATAACGCCCGCAAAATATAAAGTTTGCATATTTATACAGATTCCTGCCAGAATGTCAAACGGTAAGCGTGTGTACACAAGGATGACTAAACTTGTTCCGACTTTTAGAGCAAGCTGAGTGTAGTAATTGCTGGTTTCCAAGAATTTTTTTCTACTAGCAACCACAAGTTAAGATTAAAAACTAGTAAAAAGAGACGAAAAGGTAAGCGCATTTGAGTTGGAGTTTAATTTTGTGAAAATTTTAT